CCTTAGTTACCCGCCTGGCGTCGTATGAGGAGGTGTGCATGCAGTTGCTCCCACCATCCTTGACTGGAATCAAGCTCCAGTAACGTTTAGTTTTGTATCCTTGCTACATTGAGTGCCTATTCCGATGCGCGCGGGACTTTGACGGGCTCTACTGAAAAGTTAACTTATTGTCACTGCAAACCTATCTCCTCCTAGAGTTTTTAAGCTACAACAATGAGACATATAACATTCGATGCGCAACAAAATTATCTAGAACGTAACACGAGCGTTTTTCTAATTTCGTTATAGTTTGGATTTTATTCCGCAAAAGGGGGGTGGCGGGGGGGAAAATCGAAAAAATTTCGAAAAATGTACGAAAAATGCTCCCACACCCACAAAAATGAGAAATCCTAAAAACCCTCGTGTTGCGTTTTAGATATGGTCTTTACGCATCGAATGATGTGTCTCAATGTTGTAGCTTGAAAATCCTAGGAGGAGATAGATTTCTACGGTACCCCCTTTTCTGGCCATTTTCTAAGAATTTCACGTTTTCTTTCATTTTTTGGAAAAATTCACACGAACAAAAATGTCTTAGAATTCTATTTTACATATGTGTACCAAGTTTCAGAGTGATCCATTTGTAAATAGTCGAGATAAATTTAACCCTAGACGCTCCCCTTAAGTCAACAACCGATGCCATTGATTTTGCACACATTGGAAAATAATTTTTTCATACCAATGAACGATGGCATGCTAGTGGCAGGGTGGCTCTGTGGGTACATTTCAGAGTACCATGATTCGAGCCGTGAGTTGTGAGTTCGATCCCAGTTACCTGCAACAGATCTGGTCAAATAGGTGAGGTGACCAAACGGTTAAGCATATCAAAACTGGAGCATACTGAATGAGTTGCATGTTCAAAACCGCAATTAGCTGAACAAATTTTGCAAAATTAAGATTTGGGGACAAGTGTAATAGTCTAACAAATGCCGAAATCGATATACTATATACTATAATATAGTTTTGTTCAAAAGATATAAATACTAATGAAATGCGTGCAAACAAAATTAATTGGCGGTCGGATTTTAAAATTGTTCAGGCATCTATTGACGTTTCCTCATTCGATAATAAAGACTCTAATAAAAATCATGAGATAAAGACAGGCTGACTAAAGTGTTCGATCAACATAATGTGAACAACATTCAAAAGCTATATAATTTCAGCATTCAAATTGTCTGAAACATCACCCATGGATCACACAAAAAAAAACTCCTGTTTTAATGTTTAAATGTACGTCCATACAGAGTTTTGTACAGAGAAACTTCTTACTGTTATTGTTGATTATAGCTATTCAAATATTTTATGCATTTTTTAAAGGTGGATATATTCAACTAGTTGAGTGATTTTGCAACTTTTAGCAACAAGTTAGAACAATTATTTTCATTGTAAAATATGATCAAGTCAATAAGTGTTATGGTGGGCACTTCACAAGAAGCATCTCCGGTGAAGAAACGACAGTTACAAAGCTCAAGAAAATAAAAAATTATGAATGAACTTATATTTTCTTTCATGTTCAGGAGAACTTAAATGTTCTACCAAAAGGTAGGCAGCAGGGTTGGCAATGATTAAATCATGTGATTAAATTGCTTGATTTTTTTATAAAAAATCATGATTTTTTTATTTTTACTTTTTTCATATATATAAGTATATTGAGTGGCAGTCTTTAATTTATATTGAGGGATTGTTATTCATGGTTTAGTATAAAGGCTTAGGAGCACAGCCATGAGGCTTAGGAGCACAGCCATGAGGCTTAGGAGCACAGCCATGAGGCTTAGGAGCACAGCCATGAGGCTTAGGAGCACAGCCACGAGGCTTAGGAGCACAGCCACGAGGCTTAGGAGCACAGTCATGAGGGCTATAAATGTACTATGAATGAAAAATTGGTATATAAACTTGTTGCCTTTAGTGTGTATTAGGTTCCAATAAATTGAATGTTTTTGGTACAGAGGCATCAAGTGTGCAATACATTGTATGTAGCTAGCAGCTTAGCTAATTCTTATAAGGCTATAAGTAGTCTTTAACTATTTGACTATTTGTTATATATTGATTACAATATGCAATTTAAATGTGTTAGCTAGATTATACTGGGTGGGGCAGAATTGATTGAACAGTTTTGAGGCAAAGTAAAAGAGTAATGGAGGTACATAAAGAAGAAAGTTTATTTTCCTCAAGATTAGCATAACATACCATTTAAAATACTTATGTTTTGAAAACAATATCAGGAAGATGGGGTTTGTTAGCTGCATCACAGTGTTGGAGTCAGTCTCAGAAATTTTCTACAACACGTTTACACATATGGCGAGCTATGGCCATAACCTCTGCTGCAATAATCCATTCCCTTGGCTGTGGTTGGGTGTGAGGGCGACTTCTGAACACCCTTTCTTTTAGATGTCCCCAAAGAAAGAAATTGCAAATGCTCAAATCAGGTGACCTTGCAGGCCACTGTAAATCACCCCTCACAGTCTGGGAACATGCGTTTCAAAACATTGAGTGACATTCGGGCTGCGTGAGCTGTAGCCCCATCCTGCTGGAACCACGTCTCCCAATGCTTCATTTTCAGCAATGTTTTCCATCATGGGCTGCAAGAAATTTTGCAACATTGCAGCATAGCGATAAGAATTCACTGTTCCGGTTACTCCCTCCTCTGAGAATGACTCCAACAGTGTGTTGCAGCTAACGGCCCCCATCTTCCAGATATTATTGTCAAAACATAAGTAATCTAAATGGTATGTTATACTAACCTCTAGGAAAATAAACTTTCTTCTTTATGCACCTCCATTACTCTTTTATTTTACCTCAAAACTGCTCAATCGGTTCTGCCCCACCCTGTATATTGAGAGGTTGAGATTGTATTGACCTTTTAGGCAATTAGAAATTTTCCACCCTAATACGAGTATTCTAATTAAAATACCGGTATCTAATTTCAATCTTTAAATATGTGAATTTAAAACTAGAAACAGAACAATTACAATTATAAGACTATATATAAAATGATTAGGTGCAGTGAATGGATATAAAATATTTGAATTGTGCACATGTTTATTTTAAACAGTGTTAGCTTTTCTCATAACTAAAGTCTCGTTTCAAGTCGTATGAGGTTTGTTTGGTTATTGTTCAGTTTATGTTTAGTATTGGTTTATTGGTCCAAATTAAATGGGAACAGAGCAGTCAGTCACTCAGTCACTACTAGTCGTTGTGTATGGAGGGTAGAGTCTGGTAGATTTATAGAACATAAAACTACTAGATCTATTGATAGTGCTGTGCACTGTGCTATCAGCTAGTACCTATCTGTTATGTGACTCTTCAATGTTTAGAAGATCTGCATTCCTGAAGTGTTTTTGTATATTGAAGCCAGTTAAATGGTTGATATTTAGCTCATTACCTTGCTCCATACAAACTTTACAAAGCTAATAAATAGACTTATCAATAATTGTTTACCCAAAAGTCCCAAAGTGGTAAACACCACCTTGGCCTGTTGGCCATTATTGAAGGCAATAAGTGCCCTTTTTAGCCATCCATTATGATCCATATACTGTTATTGTTAATAGGCTAATTGCAACATAAAAAATAACGCTTCAAAAAGACAAAAAAATAAAAAAAAAATATTTAATTTTTATTTTTTTTATTTAAAAAAAAATAAAAAAATCAATCCAAACAAAAGATAACTGCGCACTAACTGAATAAAAGGGGCAGGCCAGCGTTGTGTCAGCAGCAAGCTGTGCCAGCAGCTAGCCTTGCGTAGTAGAGAATTTTGAATTTGAAAGTAAAAGGCCTGGATGAAGTGCAGTTTCAAATCCTTAGGAGCTAAATTTCAGCCTAAAAATATTAAATATTTATGTTTTTGCATGGATTTCAATGCTGTTAACACTGAACCTTCAAAGTATCTTTCCTGCAAGAAATATTTGCTAAATAAATTAAAATTTGGATATAAATGTCACTTGAAAACTGAGTGCTCATGCATCCTAAATAACCTTTGGGAACAGGGTTATACAGGACACTTGAAATGAAACTTAATTTTAAAATGTTTGAAGCATGCAGAGTGTACTCTTCCATAACTAACGGTAGGTACTCCACACACAGTGGAGTAACAGTACAGTATTCATTTATTCCACCAGGTGTGGAAAATAAATATTTGCCTCACACCTAGCCTGTGTTTGATGGCTTTGGTAAATATAAAATGAGAAATGTGAGTGCAATACTTGTCAGAAAATGTGTACGTATATATCTGACTTGAAATTGCGCATGAATACTAGTTCTAAGTCAAGATGTTTAATAGAAAATGTGAGAAAATACTTATATCTATATGTCACCAAAAATTCCATGTATACTTTATGGTTTGGCATATCAGAGGACAATTCCTCCCAATAAAAAAAAATTTCATTTGGAGGTGATGAGCCCAAATTTTATTTTTAAAAACACATCTAACCCAGGGTTTTCAATTACCCAGGCAAGTGAATTGAAAAAAGTATCTCTTTCTGGAATCCTATGTGTGCTCCCAACAAACTTGCTCAAGATGGCAAGCCTATAGGTGGCCCATAAAATTTTATAAAATTTCATATGGTATAACTCAGGTCTCACTTGTTGGGGGGGGGGTGCTTAATCTAGAAATGGCAACCAATGGTTAGAAGAATTAAATATAAGGAGTTAATCTTTCTCTACTAAACAAAAAGTTTCCAAAACCTATTATTTAAAAATTATTCAGAATTAAAGTCATTTGGGCTTTTTTATAGTCATTTTTAATTAATTTGTGTAATGAAATGTCTACAATGCTGATTTATAAAGGTAACTGTGGGCTTGTTTCATTTTGACTGGCACTTCTTTGATGCAGCACAAACTCCATTATTCATTAGCAAGTAAATCGATATAATTTTTAATCTTTCATTCTTGTATCATTTCATCAACCTAGATTCAGTGTGATCATTGTCCACTAATTTGGTCATTAAGAAAAATTTTCTGAACAGATTGTTTTGTGGCTATATTTTTGAAACAGTGTATTAATTAATTACTATCACATTCCAGTGAAGGAAAAGGTGATTATAGATTTTTCAGGATGAGTGTTCTTGATGACGATGATTTTAGTGACTTTGATGAAGATAAAGATGATCCTGACTTGATGCCACTGCCGACCGAGTCACTTGCTCGTCTCACTGCCCGGGCTAGTGGTGGGTGTATTTATTGGCTATAAAATTTATTTTCTAACTAAATGACCTAAATGAGTGCCCAAAAATGCAGGCATGATATAATGACGCATTTTTAATAATTCAAGTAGCTTAAAGAATAATACTGCTATTAAAGTAAAATGTTGTTATTTTATATTGTGTTGATCATTTGAAGTGAATTTTGGGCTATCATGAGCACTGGTTATCAGCATTATTGTTGTATTCTTTGTATGGAATGATTTGCAGATGATTGGGGATTATTAAAGGGCAGCTTTCTCATATAAACTCAAATTGAGGGATTTGGTGGGGTTTTTGTGATGAGATAAGTTTTGATGTATGTTACCTGCCAAATGTTTATCATTCCACATTGTTATAAGAAATATGCTAGCATTTGCCATTATCACTGTCTTCTGAATCAATCTGGTAAATATTTATCTTAGCTTATGTATCTTTTTGGTAGTAAAGGTATTCTCAAAATAACTTTTCATTACAGTTGGCGTGTCATCTGTGTGTGCTGTTACAATGGCCCAAACTGCTGCTGCTGCTAATCAACACGTACTAAAGATCACCCCTATCAACACTGTGTCCAATAGTGGCAGCAATGGTCACATTCCTGTCAGTTCTTCTGGTTATTCATTCCATAAATCTGCTGAATTCATCCCTGTCAAAGAAAATGGGCTGTCTACAGTTAATCTCAACAATAACTCCTTAAATTACTTGTCTCTTAATTCTAATTCTCTTAATGGAGTTGGACAAAGAAATGATACAATAAGAAGTAATATTCCAGCAACAACTATACATGCAAATAATGTTTTCAACTCAGTTGTGATTAATGGGAATGTTGTTCAATCAAGTTCATCTCCAATCATTAGAGCGAATACTATGCCTATTGTGAATGGTGTCCATAAGCCAACTATTGGTACAGTCATCAGAGCTATAACTACCACTCCTAACAATGGAGTCATCAAGAACGGCGTCAGTATTGTACGCCCTAGCATTGCTCCTGTCAAGGGCCGCAAGGTTATCCAACTTGTTGGCAATGCTGCTACAGGTTTCCGAACAGTGACACCTGCGGCAACTCCACCTGGACCTTCACAGCTTATTGCCCGGACTCCAAACCCTGTAATTGTCAAGAAAATTGTTACCAATGCTGGACAAACTACTTTTGTTAGGCTACCAAGCACCAGCTCAAGCTTGCAGGTATGCTTCATGCCTCTCATAACTTCTAAGGTTATAATATAGACAATGTTTCACCTATCAGTGAATGAGACATAATATTTTGATGTTAGAACACCATTTCAAATCTACTAGGCTCATGTTACTCATATTATATGTACAGGCCGCCTCATCTGTGACAAGTCAAACAACCACTCCCAAGTCTGTGCGAGTGATGCTTGATGCGCCTGCTGTGCTGCGCCAGCAAGTGTCACTACCAGCACCTGCCATCTCTCAGAGTTCTGACCTCTTGAGTGCTGTGCTGTCGTCCACTGGTCAGTGTACAGATCTTGAGCACATTACAAACCCCCTGATTTTTTAAAAACCCTGTGACTGTATGACTGCAATTTATTTGAAGTTAAACATAGAACACCAAGTAGAGAGAAGGCTCATCTGTCAGGATTTTTTCATTTAATTTGCACTGAATTTTGGACTAACCTTTTCCTTTTTCTGGCCATTGCAATGCTAAAATTGTTGTGTTATGCAGCGTTATTTCAAAAAATGTCATAAATTTATAGATGGTTCTGAAAAGAAAAATAAACATTGTGTGGGTAATAAGTAAAATTCTACTTGATGTTCAAGTATTTTCTTGAATTGTTTGATGGTCTTTCTGGAATTATGTAACTCTAATATAATGAGCTTGTGTTGCAGGGATCCTTGACTTTGAGAGCTCAACAAATGACACAAGCGCTGCTAGCACGAGTGTGGCATCTACCTCGTCTGCGTTTGTGATGCGGCCTCAGCTCACCAACGGCTGTGAGCTTACTAACATTTTTTAACTCTCCTCTTTCATAATATTTGTACCCAAGATCTCGGTGTACAAGAATTCTCAAATTTTGATTAAAAGATTCCATTATAGGTAATTCTCAATTCTGATATATCGATTTGACTAATGTTCTATTTTTTTTTTTCAATTGAGAACTATTCATGCTCTGATAATGAACCTGCAAATAAAATTCAGTCTCCGCAAAAGATTTTTGTGTGATTGCAAAATGTTTAGAGATTATTTCTGACTTGTTTTTTTTCTGTTTTTTTAGTTAGTATACTTTTCTTACTGTAATTTTTTGTACAACTTTAATTTTTGGACAGATGTGATTTTAGTGGCCTACATGAGCAGACTATTAATTTGGTCTAGTTGTTCTTAGAATACAATACTTCATAGTTGTGACTAATTTGAAATACTGCATATTTTTTTCAAGTATAATTACATTTGGGTTATAAAATAATGTTAATATAATTATTATCTTTCTATTCCTCTGAAAGAGGAATTTTCTTGAAGCCTTTAGGTTATTCCTTGAAAGAATAATGTTTCATTTGTAATATGTTAAAATGTGCATTTTAATTATATAATATCTGTGATCCGACAGTGTCCCGGATCACTGCCATGGGGTCCTCCATGGTCCAGGGCAGCAGTAACGGCACCGTGTTGAATGGTCGCACCACCATCGTGCGGCGTATCCCTGCTACAACCCTCACCCCTAGTGGCCCCTTCAATATTCGACACCCTGCTGGTGGGCTAGCATTACGTATAGCTGCCTCATTATTACATCAACACCAGCTGGTGGGCTAGCATTACATATAGGTGCCTCATTATTACATCAACACCAGCTGGTGGGCTAGCATTACGCATAGCTGCCTCATTATTACATCAATACCAGCTGGCGGGCTAACAGTACCCACGGCTGCCTCAGTATATTGAGTCTGGGCACATTCATTTAAACCTCTGCCATGCCTGCCTTGTATCTATCAATTTTGTAAGAAATACCAGCATCCAGACATGGGCGTGGTCACACCTAATTCGATTATTTGTCACGGATTTCTCTCCACAGATCCTGGTATTACAGTGCCTTTCTAACGCATTTTGTGTTGCCTCATGCAGCTGCCAACCCAGCCTCCTTGCAGTCGGCTGTTCAGCTGCAGATGGACGACTTGGAAGAAGATGACAACGCCATGGGCATCGCTGAAACGTACGCCAAGTACAGCCTCTCTAAACGTGAGTAATTTGTCTGGTTCTGAACTGAAGGCTGATCGTTGGTTGTAGGGTATTTTATCCCAAAATGTGTGTAAATGTTTGACTTGAATGGCATATATTTGTCGGCGATTATTGAAATAAAAGTATGATTGTGATTCATTGGATTTTTACAATTTTGGATGCTTGTTATTAGACTCAGCTTGCTAGTAATTGGTTATTCATAAAATCACAACTAAAATGCTATGGAAAATCTAATGTTCGGTATGCTTGCTGAGTGTACTAATGATCATTAATTATTCATTAACAGTGAAAATCGGCCGGGCTCATCCTGACCCAGTGGTAGAGTCTGCCTCAATGGCGTCCGTGGAGCCTCCTGACATCACTTACCGCATCAAGATGCCTGAAGAAACCGTCATGAAGGGCAAGCTGTCTTGTCTGCAGCTCGAGACCATCACTTACGTGGGCCAGAAACACGAGTGTTTTCTGCCTGATGGCAGCCGAGCAGGTTTCCTCATAGGGGATGGTGCTGGTGTAGGCAAAGGCAGGACAATTGCTGGTATCATCTACGACAATTACAAGAGGAAACGCAAGAAGGCCATCTGGGTGAGCTCCTGTAATGACCTCAAGTACGATGCAGAGCGCGATCTTGCGGACATAGGTGCCAACAAAATTAAAGTGAGATTTCTGAGTAAAACTAAGTATGCAGCGATCAACTCTCAAGAGAACAACAATATTACCAAAGGAGTTCTCTTTGCCACCTATTCCGCACTCATCGGGGAGTCGTCATCCTTTGGCAAGTACAACACACGTCTGAAGCAAATTCTAGACTGGTGCGGGCCTAATTTTGATGGCTGCATCATATTTGACGAGTGCCACCGAGCAAAAAACTTGTGTCCTGTCGAGTCGGGCAAGCCAACTAAAACAGGCCTGACTGTCCTCAAGCTGCAGAACAAATTACCGTTAGCCCGCATCGTGTACGCATCTGCCACTGGAGCATCTGAGCCTAAGAACATGGCTTATATGGTGCGCCTGGGGCTCTGGGGTGTAGGTACGCCGTTCAAGAATTTTCCTGACTTTATATCTACAATAGAGAAGCGCGGTGTCGGTGCCATGGAACTCGTAGCCATGGATATGAAGTTACGTGGCATGTACATTGCCAGACAACTGAGCTTCGCAGGCGTGAGCTTCAGAATAGAAGAAGCTCCTCTCACGAGCGAGTTTAAGGCTCTGTACAATGACTCTGTGCGTCTCTGGGTGCGCGCTAAACAGAGCTTCACTGAAGCAGCTGATCTTCTCACCTCCGAAGCCAACGCCATCAAGACCATGTGGGGCCAGTTCTGGTCAGCGCATCAACGCTTCTTCAAGTACATGTGCATAGCATCCAAAGTTGATGCCGCTGTCAAGCTCACATGCGAGTCTCTCAAGCACGGCCGCTGTGTCGTTATTGGCTTGCAGTCTACAGGCGAAGCTCGCACGCAAGAGCAGCTTGAGAAAGAAGACTTCGAACTCAATGAGTTTGTGTCGTCGGCCAAAGGTGAGATCGTCGAAAAGTATTTTTGTTAGCAGTGCAGTAATAAGTTAACAATGCATTGGCACTGGCTTTTCATCAATGTTTCTGTTTTCAAATTTATTCCAGCCAATATAGGTGCACTTAAGTACGTTTGTTGGTATAAATACTCAGAATTTGACTGTATTTTCTTTTGCCTAAAGAAAGAATTTGACGAACAATTTTATTTCAAATTAAATATCGTAAAAAACGCTAAAGGAATGACACTTCCCAAAGTATAATATTTCTTCTTTCATGAACTGTGTCTTTTTAGTGCATTTTCTCATTTATGGAAAAAATTCACTATTGTGCTCGCCATGTCCGTCCGTCTGTCCGTCCGTGACCTCAAGTTTTCGTCGGCGAGAAAATGCGCTCTCTGTCACTCACTGCAGTGAGTACTGAGTTATATTTTTAATAATTTTAATTCGGTTCTCGCAGGTGTCCTGGAGATGCTGGTTGAGAAGCACTTCCCGGCCAGCAACGCGGAGCGGGTTGAGAAGATCTTAGCTCTCGCTCGCAAGAAGACACAGACTGGCGTGAAAAGAAAGAGAGGTGCATGTGACTGTACATAAGAGAGGGATGTGTGTGTGTGACTGTATATAAGAGAGGAAAATGTGTGTGACTGTATATAAGAGAGGAAGGTGTGTGTGACTTTATTAGTTCGGTTTGTACAGCGAGACTTACACGTAAATGACGCCAATTGCTTGCTCGTGGGCGTAATAATAATGGTAGACGAATGCAGAGTCTGAGAGTAAATTTGCACTTGATATCTAGAATTTAATGGCGAACTTAATTTTATTTAGGTTTGCCAGTCCATAATTTTGATAAGTTTTATCTTTTTTTTCGTGTAGAACACGAAAAGCTGCTCCATAGTTCAATTTACAATCTTGGTGTAGCGTTATTTATTTTGTGGAATTTAGTCTCAATGTGATTTTTTTGAGCCACGTTTCTCCATTCAGACGGCGGTGACGGCAAGAGGAGCAAGAAGCGAACTCGCACCGGCCTGGCTGCAGTTTTGGGTGAGATGCCAGGATGCTAGAGTGCTACTTATCTGCTTACATGTACATATGGTATATATGATGCCAATTGCCGACTGCGACGAAATAATTGTCACCCTTAACAATCTTTCGGCAAAGAACGGCTACCGTCAATGCTGATAACGTCGTCAGTGGCACTTAAGTCGCCGGCCTGCTATAGAAACAATCTATTTTGTTAACGAACCTGAACCACGTCTTTCTAGCGCAATCTAAATGTTTGTAGTTATTATGTGGTATCGGGCCCAACAAATGGCAGTTCTGTCCAGTATTATGCGGCTTTTATTGACGAGCGGCGAGCGAGGTATGTACAGTTTCTGACGAGTGGCGACTTTAAGTGGCATTGACGGAAGTTATTTGTTGCCATTTATATAAATGCCGAGATATAAAGGGATTGGACAAAATAGGGGAAACGCCTGACATTTTAATTTTAACTTATTATCAACAATGAAAACGTGACGTATTATGTTTTACTGTTTATTGGTGCTGCTTACTGATATTTTATCCTTGCACAGATGTTTTAGTACAATTTTATGTCTATAACCTAACCTGTAGATGGCATACTTCTCTGACTTTCAAAGAGGTCAAATTGTTGATGCCGTATGGCAGGTGCTAGTGTGACATAAACTTCCCGAAGGCTTGACGTTTCTAGAGATAATGTCTCAAAAGTAGTGACTGCTTCTGAAAGAGAAGGAAAAACGTCCTCAGCAAAGCTTAGGTCTGGCCGAAAGTCGAAGTTGTCTGAGAGAGACCGTCGGTACCTAAATCGAATTGTGAGGGACAATCAAAAGATCACGGCTGTTGAAATTACTGCAGACCTCAATAGAATCCAGTTTACTGCGGACTTCGCAAAATCCAGTTTCCATAAAGACTGTCCGCCAAGAGCTGAACAGATCTGCATTCTATGGAAGAGCTGCAATTAGAAAATCTCTGGTTTCAAATACAAATGCTTCAAAACGTTTTAAGTGGTGTAAAAACCTCCGGAATTGGTCCCTCGAGCAGTGGAAAAATGTGATTTTTCTCTGACGAATCATCGTTTACCTTATTTCAACCTCTGGCCCAGTTTCCGTTTCGAGACAGCCAAAAGAGTCATTTAATCCCGATGCCTCCTCCCAACCGTAAAACATGGCTGGGATCTGTGATTTTTTGGGGTGCTATTTCTTGGAAATCCGGTGGACCAATGATTTATCTTCATGGAAGAGTCAACAGCCGTGACTATTTAGGGATTTTGGAGGACCAAGTTCATCCCATGGTTGAAGGACTATTTCCGGAGGGGAACGGCTTCTTTCAAGATGATAATGCCCCGATCCATACAGCTGGAATTGTAAAAAATGGCACGAGGAACATTCTAATTAAGTTGAGCGTCTCATTTGGCCACCAAAATCACCAGACCTGAAAATTATCGAGCATTTATTATTGATTATAGAGATGCAAGTCAGAAGTCCATTCCCGCCGCAATCGTTTTTAAATTAGTTGGAGGGATTTTTAACTGAAGAATGGGTTGACATTTCTTTGGAATTGAGGCTGTAATTGCCGCAAAAGGAGGACCTACGCCATACTAATACATATTTTGTGGATTTTTCGGGTGTTTCCCTTATTTTTTCTAACCCCTGTATATTTAGGTGGTAAATTTCTGGACCCATTATATGCACCACGATAAAGCATTATCACTGTGCGTTATGACCAAGCTCAACTTTATTCTCTTCAGATAATGAGGACTCGCAAGGATATGACTCCGACGCTTCCATTGATGATGGTGAGGGATGCTGCACTTTAACTTACCTAATTTTACGTAGCGGTTATTGCTTCTATTTGTCTGTTTGGCATCCATTCATGTTCCATTGCTATGCATTATATGCGTTTGGCTTATTTCTGCTTGAAGCTCTAAATTTGGATAATGACGAAATAGTCAAGTTAATTTCACATACGAGTATCCTTTTACTGTTCTCTATTTGATTAAAATTATGTAAATTTTAGACGGCCTATCTAATTATTTTTTATTTAGTTGCAGTTTTGTTCGTGTGTAGAACGAAGTGAATTTTAATCATTTACGTATGTTTGTTCAGCTGAACTGGACCTGCTGACGTCTCGTTTTGAGCGCAACACTGAGCCATCAGAAGACAACTTCTTCAACGCGCTGCTCACCAAGTCTGCCTTGGCTGGTAGCCGCCCTGCTCGCGCGTCTCCCGCCCCTCCCACAGCCACTCCCACAGACACATCCCCCAACTTCCAGGCTAGTTTTCTCCTCTTAAATAATTCTCGAACCTGAGAAGATTGATGATAATTCTATCTTCCTTGACACGAAATGAGATCACGATTCTATGATAGTGAATTCATTTTTTGTACTGCCTTATCTCGTAATAATTTTGGCTTGAAGTGAAAGTGGAATTAATCTAACCAATACTAATAGACTTCGTTTGTTACATCAGTTGTTACTTGAATTGGTTTACGGGAATAGTTTCCTTTCATTCAAATGGGCTCGGTATTCGTAGTCTTAACGGCAGCTTGCTTGAGTGTTGTAAATAACGTACACAGTTGTACCATCTGCTAAAAATGCTTAGTTCTGGTGCCGGGTTATTGGTTATAATCTTCGATTTGCCTTGATATTTCAGGTTGCAATAGACCGAGCCCGGGAGCTACGCAACAACTTACTGCGTCAAATTAAAGGCCTCGGCAAGCGCCTTCCTCCCAACACGCTAGACCATCTCGTGGACCAGCTGGGAGGGCCGGAGTACGTGGCCGAGATGACGGGCAGGAAGAAGAGGCTCGTCCAATCTGAGTCTGGCAATATTCTGTGCGAGGCTCGTGCTGAGGGCGAGGTTAACGACCTGCTCAACTTCAAAGGCGAGTAATTTGAATAGTTTGCACTTCACTTTGCTTGTAGATTATTATGGACTCCATTACACTGATGTCGCGTTTCACGGTCTAACATCATAATTTCTTCTTGTAATTGGTTACTTGAAACGTTTGGTCTTGGATCTTTTATACATTTGAAAAAACCGTGTTTTTTTAATTTATCTTCATTTACCGCCGCAGAAAAAGAACGTTTCCTTAACGACGAGAAGAAAGTTGCTATCATCTCGGAGGCCGCAAGCTCGGGCATCTCATTGCACAGCGACGTCCGCGTCCGCAACCAGCGGCGCCGCGTGCACATAACCCTCGAGCTGCCCTGGTCCGCCGACCGCGCCATTCAGCAGTTCGGTCAGTTCCCTGTCAGTCTTCGTTATTATTTTGATTAGTACATTCCACGTTGGTCTGTACTCTACGAATATTCTGCAGAAATTTTTGCGTGCACTTAGATGTACTGTAAGTCTACTAGCTTTTCAAATGAAATTTTAAAATGCTAGCTGTGATGTAGGCATTCATAATCTACTTTGATTCAATTCACTAGTACTTCTCCGCTTTGGGGAAGGAAATCTTTCGGAAAGAAAAATGACTTTATTGAGGAATAGGGACGTTTTTTAGCAATCAGCAATCGTTTAAGTACGATTGATAGACTTTAACTTTCCCGGAGTGACTGGAGAGCATCACATTTGATAAATTATGTTTGCATGATTTGTCACATGTCATAGTATTGTTCTCATCAAAGATTAGTATGATAAGCTTCAATGTAGACCCCACTTTCATTTCTCACCAGGCCGAACTCATCGAAGTAACCAGGTGAACGCGCCCGAGTATGTCTTCCTCATTTCGGAACTGGCAGGAGAGAGGAGGTTTGCCTCCATTGTTGCCAAGAGACTCGAAAGCATGGTAAGTTTGTCGCAGTGATGACACGGCACTGCAACGCAAATGGAAATTCCTATTATTTGTGTTGTGGGAAAGGAATCACGTTTTATTGTGCCAGAAGAGTGTGTGTTTTGTTTGTTTAAAGTGGAGCGCCAACCGCACCATCTGAGTTGAAGTAGAATCCGTTGCGCTTAACTTGTGAACATTCTTGAATTGTAGAATTGTGATTGTTACTGACTGGGACAGTTCTCACTTGGTTATATGTGCCACCAGGGCGCCTTGACCCACGGCGACAGACGGACGGCTGACACCAGGGATCTCTCAAGCTTCAATGTTGATAATTCTTACGGCCGTGATGCTCTGGAGCGAACACTGAGCGCCGTCATGCATTCCGACCCCCGCATCGCACCTCCCAACTTCCCTGGAGACTTCTTCGCTGATGTCAAGGAATCTTTGGTTGGCTGCGGCCTTTGCACTAAGGATTCTCGAGGAAACTACTGTCTTGATAAAGATGCTACAAATGTTTCCAAGTTCCTGAACAGAATATTAGGCGTTCCCGTGGACATTCAAAACGCGCTGTTCCACTGCTTCACCAACACACTCACCGCCATAACAACCCAGGCCAAGAAGGCCGGCAAATACGATACGGGTATTTTAGATCTCTGTGTCGGTTCTGACTCGTGCAAGGTGATCAAAGTTGAGAAATGGTCGTGTCAGCACTCGACTGGCGTAGGCAGTATATCTCTGCATCAGTTGCAAGTAGAAAGAGGCATGAACTGGGTTCAAGCTAGAAACAAAGCAGATGAATTATTCCAGCACGAAGAAGGATTTTACCTCAGCAAGAAAGTGGTGAAGGCGCGCAAAGCCGTACTTCTTGCTGTGCTTGACCCTGCCATTTCTAACACAAAGCGACCTAAGTCTGAACAACTGTACAGTATCTACAAGCCCAACCTGGGCATACTCTCGAAACAGAAGCGTTACTCTGACCTTCTGTTAAAGTTCGAAGTAACGTCACCTGAGATGGCGCGGCGGTTCTGGGAGGAACAGTACACGACTCTGGCGACGACATGCTCGCACGTCTTCTGGACTGGCTCGTGTACGAAGGCTGCACGCGGACTCAAGTGTGACTACGGTCAGCGCACACGCACCTACCACGTTCTTTGTGGTTCAGTTCTCAGCGTGTGGAGTGAAATTGAAAATCTACTTATCAATGATCCTCTGAACTCGCAACTTCACAGACTTCAAGTCGTGCGCTTCCAGACCTCAGATAAGCTGAAATACGTCGGTGAGTGTTTCTGTGACCGTCAGGGTTATGGTACTCGAGCATTCTCTGTCACTATTTATTATTCTCTGTAGTATACTCTGTTTCTCATCAAGAATGACATCTATTTTTTGCAGTAAAACTGACATAACTTCATATTATTTTGCAGATATTCTCTATGTAATTATTTGCTATTGAATTTCGTGTTGGTTGAACATGGAATCTCGTTGATTCAAATGTCCTTTATTTCATTTGAATATTTAGGCGTTGGCATTAACGAAATATCCACATTTCAGGCACTTTGATCCCGAACAACATGGCAAAGAAAGTCTACGATTTTCTGCACGCCAAGTACTCATCTGACGAGAAAACCAAGAAGAGTTCTTTGCCAAATTTCTTCGAGAACGTTCCGGTAGAGGATGATGACGATGACATCATCATGTTATCGTGACCTTGCATTGAAGCCTAGTCTCTGTTAGTGTCTTGACTTGAAGAGGGAATTGTTCCCTGTCCACTTGTGATATTTAATTTATAGTTATCAGTAAAGTTCGTTATTTGTTGTGAAGAGTTTACAACCTTCAACTAGACTCGCAGTTTAGTGGATTAATTTATTGTGAGGAATCTACCTATTTTTGAGACAAGGGTGTATGTTTCACGTTTATTTCTACTTTTTCTGTCATTCTCATATTTTGATGACGTACGCGTGATATTTATTTAGAATATTCTCATTGTTTTTGTGATCGCAGTAAAGGCATCGACCAACCTAACTATAATTTTGATACATGTATGGTCTTGGATGAATGCTACTATTGGAAAACAGTTGCTCTTTTGCTGTCAGCAGATTTTTGTCGCTGTTTGAAAACAATAACTTTACGTCTGGCCAAAGTAGCATTCAACGTGAATTTTGGGTATATGTCTTGAATTTCCTTTGAAGAGGAAGTTCAGTGGTTAACTTTCTATTTCTTCGTATTGGACCAGGAAGAAATATGATTCAAACTTTTCATACTGAAGCCATTTGTAAAACTAAGTTTTGCTATTTAATTGACTCAAGTTTTGTCAATGTCCATATCTTAAAATTTCTAAAGGATTACATTAGAAAAATTGCGTTTCGTTTGTTACAAGTTCCGTGTGTTTGAGTCATTTTTAACTGACTCACTACAGTACAAGTTATGTGTTACAAATATATATTTACTTCGTAATTTTTCGCATTATACTTCAAAACTCATTGTTCTCGCAAGGTAATGTCTAGTTTTGTCTGCGGTTTTTACTGATATATACACATAGCTGTCAGTTGAGGACGTTGATAAATGTCTGGTCTATTGTCTTCATGATCTTACCGAATTAGTTTTCTTTTTCCATTTTATACTTGGATACCATCAAAGATGGTGACGCGATTCAAATGCGAGTGGGTTTCATTCCTAACAGTTTTAAGTAATTTAATTATGTTCCTTTTTTATAAATGTGTACCCTTCGCTTTGTTATTTCTTCTGCGTCTTGGATATCCAGGATAAGTTGTTCGAAATGTTCACGTAATAATCTTCCCTGGGTGATGTACGTAGTGTTACTACCAAGCATAACGCTTGAGAACGCCGCGTGTGCGTCATCAGGGCTCTGTGGATCTCGATATTATGTCCTTTTTTTAACCTTTTTGGTTTGATGCTTTTGTACCTTTCAAAAGCTTTACTTTTTTTGTACCTTTTTTTTGCTTGTACCTTTCAAGTGCCTGACAACGATTTTTCTCTCGATGGTCGTTCCTGCATTAGTCATATTATGTTATTTTCTCATTATAATTTACTGAGGCTTAAAATAAATGGACTTTTTTTCGAACATTTATGTACTGTTGGGTGGGAATTCTTATGCAAAAAATTGTAAAGCAGGCATGTAGATTATTACTCTTTGGCGACGTTTATGTTGCACTGATGTTTGAAGTATAACGAACTGAAATTATTGGCATGAAGTTAAAAGAGCGGTCACAAATCGCTTGGGTCAGATGTTACTCAGGTTATTTATGAAATTTTTGTTGATGGCTTCCATGTGAGCAGACGTTGTATTGAAACTATCAGTTCCTCGTGAGATTTGAAAAGCATTTTTCAGCCCTTGTGAACAAATTTACATTTTTTATGGTTGGACATTTTTCTTCTATTGCCAACCAATAATCAAATTTTGATGTTTTTCAAGAATTTTTTCACGAGAGTAATAGTTGAAAGCTTTATGTTAAGGCTTCTCGTGACACCTGTACTTTTGAACGCCTGCTTACCAAAATTACAGACCTTGAAGTGCCTGCAACTATCCTCGCTTCTCGAACGTAGATTTCTTAGCGTTAACTGCGCTCCCAATATTTTGAAGGCTGAAAGTCCCTCTCCGGGATGATCCATTTGGGTTCTCTTGCTATTGGTAAAAATTTTTCGAATGGACTTGATGGGCGACTCGGTGCTAGATTTACTTTTCTCGCACCGCCCATTGGTCTTCCAGAAAGGGCGCTGATTTGGCTCGACTAGCTTCATGATATTTTACTGATGGAATACGTGAATCCTGACGATGCATTCTATACTGGCTGGCAGTCTCTACTAACATCGAGTCACATACGACGATATGCTATTAATTTTCTGTCTTTTATCAAACGAACCACTCATATGACCGCTGTTGAAGGTCGAAAAATATCTTCAGTATTGGCTGCAGGAATCCCAAATGGATTGCATCTGAACCCCATCGGTCGTATCAGAGTTACCAGTTTAACGACCGTCAACAAATTAAGAGCATATCGTCGTGTCTGACTGGATCTGTATCGACTGTCATACAATCTAAAGCTCTAACCTGGCCGGCCTCAAATTTGATTCGAATCCGATCTAATTGAACTCTTTCAATGGATTGCTGTTCTCAGCTTATGCGTCGTGTATAGAGCCAGTTCATTTGTTGATCAACCGCTACTACGCTGTATCAAATTTTCGTTTCGTCCCTATTACAGTAGGCTGGTTATGTCGCATTTGTTGTTAGTTTAACAAAACGGTAAACGTGTAAGTGATGATCTCTATGAAAATATCTAATACAAGTTTACTGTAAATTAATGAACTTTATACTCCTTCTGGTCCTTCTCCTTCCTACTTTTCTCGAAAAATTTCAACATGGTAATTCGATCTTCGGGGCAAACTTTTAACTTACTCAGAATTGTACAACTGAGATAATAATATAATAATAATAATAGCGGTTTCAGCGTTTATTAGGCCGTAGGCCTGTCGCCGATTCTTAACATCGCAGAACATCCACAGCTTGTTGCGAGTCTCGAACTCGCAATTCACTGCTTCAATTCTGCTGTGCTTAACCGCCCGGCCTCCTCGCCGATTCTTCTGGCGCACAGAGCCCGCGCCTCTCTGCTGCATAAAGTGCCGAAATACACTATCATCTCGCATTAGCTGCGCCAAACTATTCTTTGATATATCAAATTTTACTCTCGATCTCTTTAGAATTGAAACAGTATTGAATAAGTTTTAGGAAACTCGGTGGTAATTTTCACTCAAGTGATGAAGTGGATGTTGGTTATTTCTTATTTCTTGGTCTGCTACTCCAAATGTGATGCGTCGTCGCAAAAGTCTTTCGGCAACCTCTTTTACGGAGGGAGTTTCGCTCAAATCTGGATAACTTTTCACTTCCTTGGAACCTCATCACAGCTCTGGGAGGGGGTGATATTCCCCAAAAAAGGAGAACTGCAGTCATTCATCGCCTGGGACAATACCTGCTAAAATGCAGCATGGTGAACACCCTATGAAAATTATCAGTGCCTAATTCCTTTGTTATTTTCTTCCACACAAAAACCTCTTTGTGAGAGCATGAAGAAAAATTCAAAATGAAGTGAAGAGGCAGTCAGGCAGTTGAGTTGGAGTTTTCAAGAAAAATCAAGTTGTGCTCAGGCTGGGAGGTGTGACTGTTTCACACCCGAAGTCTTAAAATCAAATTATAAAAAAACTCTTTTACGGCCGGATATAGTTACGTAGCAAGCTTTTGACCTATAATCAGTATCATTAAGTTATTTTTGTCTTGATTTTCTAAATATTCTAAGTATTTTGTTTACATTGAGTTGAGCGGAGTAGTATAATGCGCAATCATTGATGATCCGACCCTTTGAACGCGATCTGCGTTTTATAGAAAACAGTTGTCTGTTCGGTTAATTTATTATAATTGGTCTTTGAGGATTGAGCAAGCGTAGAAAAGAATATACCTAAGTCTCTTCGTTATTATTGTATTTAAAGATTTCATTTTTATTTAGGAAAGCACAAATTTACGTGTATGAATTGATATGCAACGCTGCAAAGTGCCAGCTGATCAAAGTAAGTGTCCTTATCTTATGCCATATTTTATTCCATTTTTAAACCTTGCATTAATACTTTTGATCAAATAGATTCGAACTGTGCTCTACAGTCTACGCCCTTCGCTAGTGTTTTGATTTTTATTGAAAATTCTTTATTTCTCTTATGACATGGAGCCTTTGTAAAATGTTTCAACTTTCAAGGATATAATTTAATAATAGGCTACCTACCGCTACCTTTGTGTGTTACTTCTTGATTTTGTTTTTGCTTCTGAGCAGAATGAATTTCAATGAAATGTTTATTAATAATAAATGTGTTGTTTGGCAGTCAGGCCATGGCAATGTGTGGCGTGTGCTTATGTTTGTTTTGTCCTTGTGAACAAACGTGTAAAAATTTAGTTGGCTAGGCGGCTAGGCCTAGTTAAGACTTAGCTAGATTGGAATTTTCCCATTTAGCTAGCCAGCCTAGCCTATGAATAAAATCTGGTGGCTCCAAACTTCCAAAGTGATCAAATTTTGGCAAGCTTTGAATCTTGTGACATAGTTGAAAGTTTCATTCTAAATTTGCATTTTTATCAACAATTAGACTGGACAGAAGCTAATTCATTGAGCACCTATCTTGTGGCTCTGAAAATAGCATCATGGCAGTATTGGCAGATAGGGTAAACGCGGTATATTCCGACACATTAAGGACGCATCGAGAAATGAAAAACTATAAAAAAAAAGTATGCGTTACGTAAGTTCTGTTGCCTTCACTTGACTCTCAAAACACTTCACTACGCGTCAGCAACGATGAAACGTCACAAAATGTTGCCATATTTATTAAAAAGCCTCTAGAATGGAAACCTACCAAATTCCTATTCCCTATATTCCGTCACTTTGTGTGGCAACATCCGACATGTGGTGAGTCGTATTGTGTCAGCGCTTCAAATTTAACTGATACGTATTGCCGACATCCATGTGTTCAAATTCCGTTTGCTGTGTGAGCTGTACCGTAAAATGGGGTAACTTAGAACACTTTTTTTCTTATAAATGATGCCATTTTCTTACTAGCTAAATTAAACTTGAATTGAAACATGCAAAATACAGGTCTATACTCTAGCTTCACTACCATTTTACGGTATTGGGATACAACACGGCTTTGAACTAGAACACTAACGAATATTGAACACTACTTAATTACGTTTTAATTAACAGCTATTAGGCTTTTAATTAAGCAAATTTCAATTTTTGTACAAAGCTTTGAACGATCTGTGTGTGTCCAATTCAAGTTATGTTGGAATTAGTTTTCATGTGTCGAAATCCAACATCTCAACTTAATCATCTATTAATTTATTTACGACTTGAAATCAGCAAATACAAGTATACTTAAAGGATTCCTAATATATTCACAGACGTATTTAAAAGTCTCAAACCATAATATTCTTCCTATAAAAACAGTTATTCACTATTTGGTAGAGCCATGTCAACTGTCAAATTTGACACATTTTTTGATGATCTCACCACGTGGCATGCTTTGTCTCTCTTTGGATCTCAATATTTTCCCACTAGATGGCCAAGACCTAGTGTTTTTGCAGTATTTCGACACGCAAATGTATGACGTCACCATTTCAACCATCAATGAACGCATGGAACTAAAACAAAGCTTAATATAAAGGAAAAGCTGGAGAGGTGACAGAATTACCTACGATGTTGGAATATACCGCGTTTACCCTATCTCTAGCTGTTGCTATGGCCCAAATGAAATGGTACATTCCTATTCTAATTCCAGGCTATCTGGCCATGTTAGTACATTGTACAATGACTGATGTTGTGCTTTATGAGAATCAAGATCACTTGATTGCTTGCAAGTTGCATGTTTATCTAGAATTTGAAGGCAAGGAAAACAGCTAGAAAATTCACCATTTTATTTAGGTACCTATGTAAGAAAATCTTTCAGAGTTGGGATTCCAGCTCCATAGCCTCCATTGCCAGTTCAAAAACCTATAACACATGTACAAACAATTAGCAGGCTAAAATTCACATTGAAATATTGAAATAAAAATTGTCAAATGAAAACAGAATGAGGTAAACCTGAGCAGACAAACCTATCACTTTAGTGGCGGTCTTTACAATTTTGAAGGAATATATGAAGTGGCATTTAAAATAGGCTTAGTTAAAAAATATGCAGGGACTCAACAATTCACGGGTCAGATAAACTGGCTGTGGAGGCTAAAACTCTAAAATTACTATTGTACACCAAGACATTGCACTGCTTGGCAGTTGGCAACTTGGCATCATCGCGTACTGTTGAATGATGGGGATTTGCAAGCAGGTTTCCTGTTCTAAAACTCCTCCCTTTATGCTCTGCCTGCCTAGCTATAAAAATTATGTCATGTCATTTATTGTCATACGTAGATGCGTATGACAATACGTATAAGCAACAGTACGCATCTGCATAGTAGTACGCAGATGCGTACTAGTGGTACTACTACTGCACACAAATATATTGTTAAACTAGGGATGATTGCATAAGGACAGAGAGTGTACCTGTATTCTTGAAAAAATAACTGATTTAAAATTATTCACCAGTAATATATGAAGATTTACATTTGGGAGGTATTTAGATATCAAAACTTTTAACTCCTTAGTCATAGACTCCAAAGCGGGACCACAATAATGAAAAAAAATTTTAATGATAAACAGCATTTCTATTGTCATGATCAGGAACATTGAAACAACCTCTGAATATTGTTTAGACAAAAAATGTTTAATTTGAGTATAAACCAATTGCAATGGAAAACCTTTTAGTGAAAAGGTGCTCTGTAAAAATTCAAATTCTGAGTGCATAGCATGGAAAGTAGAGCAAATACACAAGCCATTTATTATTATTATTGCTTGAATCCCATTAAATTTGAAAGGAAAATAATAAATGCTAAAAAAGCAGGTGCCTAACACTTAGACTGCGACTATCAAAATAGCCTGTATTCCAATGATACAATTCATTCAAACTTGAATAAAATTAGGTACCGTCAGGCGTCAACCGGGGCTACTCGGGACAGTTTTGAGCGTTTTTTTGTTAATAAGTTCTTACAATGAAACATTTCATAAACATGTTTAGACTCATTTTATAGCTCTTTGCAAGGGCTATCAAATGGCATTGTCAAAAAAATTCCATATGCTATTCGTAAGGTGTCAGAAGCAAAAAAAAGAGTGTCCTGAGTAGCCCCATCGAACAGGGCTATTTGGGACACTTGGAATAAAACTTCATTTTAAAACATTTGAAGCATGCAGAGTGTACTCATCCATTACTAACAGTACTCTGAAGTCCTCCTCTTTCATTGTAGATGATGTAGAGGTAGAATAAATGACATTTTCTGTGATTTTTACTTGTTTTTCCTTTATTGATATGGTATTACCATATACATTAATTACAGTATTATTGATGTGATATTATCGTATTATTGATGCAATATTACCGTATCAATGAACATGCCATTGAGCATTTACAACAACCTTGTCCACTGCAAGCTTCATATCAGCAGCCTTATAGCATTTTTTCTGTATCTGTAAGCTTACAGGACGGCTTGTAATTTCACACCATTTTAATTGGGTTAAGTGAATTTACTATAAAAAAAATATCATGAAAAACATACCTGAAACAGAAAGGAATGTTTTAGTGACAACCATCATATGTTTTGGAGAAATAAATCATAGTTTAGGTCAATTACTTTTCATTCTATGATGCCTGGTGCACAATTCTATATATGACATTCCATGCACAATTTTGTGATGACCGATGATGCACTAATTTTTTGATAAGTGGAATTTTTCGCTGAGCGAGGTAAATGTAATAAATATTCTTTGTTTTTAATCAATTTTTTCTTAACTGGAGCCTTTGCTAACTGAGGTTCTACTGTAAATGCGTTTTTGGGGGTGTCCTGAATAGCCCTGGGGCGGGTGTCCCGAGTAGCCCCCGCGTGCGGAAATGGCCGCATTTTTTTTTTTTTGGAATGAAATAGGACAATTCTGTCAATTACATTTTCAAGCCAACACCTGGGTGCATCTTTTATGTAAGTAAAATTTTTTAATACAGCGAATATTTTTTTGCTACAGACCTTAGCAGAAGTAACTTTTCAAAATAGCATTTTTCACCATTTTTTCAGGAATTTTTCAAAGCTAGTAAATGTAGTATTTTCCGACTTCCTTTATACTACATAGATAGGAAAAATGTTGACGTTTACGTCACTATATTTAGTTTTGCAATATTCCAATTAGTTTTGCTACTATAACAGTTTTACGCCGTGTCGGAGGACTGTCCCAAGTAGCCCCGCCTGTCCCGAGTAGCCCCGGTTGACGGTACAAACATGATGGCAAGATAGGGGCTAGTGTGCTGCTCTTGTCTGAGCAATTTTTACAAGCTTCTGAAATATAAACAATAAGCCTCGATTGGTTCACATTGCCTGGAATGGAAACTTTCATCTTTCTAGGCAACAGGTGCGAAATGAGGTACGCAGCATTTATCATACAAAGTTTTTTTCTACTATAAAAGTTTGTATCACATGAGTATTGATGCTCAAGAGTGTTGAGCCAGTAAGCATCTATTTTTGGTAAACAAATGTCTAAAAATGGCCATTTGATTTTGTGACTTTGCAATCAAGAAAAGATAAACTGTTGTTGGATTCAAGCTCCATGGTAAATTTGATGGACTTGTTATGGAGATTATGATAATCAAGAAAAGGCCTACATTAGAGGGATGCTTGGAAATTAAAAAAGTGTCTTCAACATATTGGTTATAGAATAGTGGCTTAAAATTAAACAGACAATTGGCCAGCTATGTAGCCTCATGAAAATACTTGAAAATGTTAGCAAAAGTAGAGTCAAGAGGAAGACTTGCTCCCAAAAGCATCAATTTGTCTATAAAACTTACCAGCATGTACAAAAAATCAGTTTAAAATTTAAAGAAGAAGAAGAGATTATAAAAAGTTGTGATTCAAACCCATGACTTGGAGTCAGTGACACTTTTAAACAGGGGGTGTGCCAGTCATAGAAAACCTAGAAAGTTGTATACCAGTCTGGAAAATTACTTGTATATGTACGACAGGTTCCAGACTCGTATATGATTTGAAATTTTCCAGACTCATATATGACTCATAATTTTCCAGACTTGTATACAACTCCAGGTTTTCCGTGGCCAGTATGCACCCTGTTTAAACAAAGAATTGAGTCAGATATGAATAGTTTCATATACATATATATATATATATATATATAAGGGCATATTTTTGAACAAATTTTCTACATCAAATGAAGCCATACTCTATTCTGGAACATCAAAGTTCTTTAAGTTACCCATGAATGTGTAAGTATTCACTCACTGAGTATTGTCTACCATGTATTGATTGGGGGTGAGATGTAGTTCAAACCCAGAACTAAAAGTTTGGCAAGTTTGGAACTCAGAGTATTGCAAGCAGAAAAATTGGGTGGAATTTAAATTTCAAAACAAAATCTTGTTTATAAATTTTGGACCAAGAGTGAAGCTCATCAGTTGGGTCATTTCATAAGCACCAAATATATTTTGAAATTTCATTGAATATTAGACAGAATTTCCTTGTCTTCAAGTAGAGACATGTTTGTATGTGGAGGCAAAAAGGTCTCAAACCTCCTGTTTATATCTGAAAAAGTTTTGCAAGTAGAGGCATTCAAAAGTTAAAGTAATACTATTCAGTCACCATGCTAAAAAAAGAATGCTATGTAAAAAATGTAAACATAAAAATGTAAGGAGTATTTTTCTGGCCACAATTAAATTAAATGTCACAGAATTATTTTAATTGATAAAATATATATTGCTACTTCCGCCTTAAAAAAATGAAAAGGTTAATTTTATTGTCCCAGTCAAAATGTTCATTTGAATCCTCAGATTTCAATACTTGGGTGTGGTAGGAGTAGATTCTATGTAGGGAAAAGTTGTCATATGATTGGTGATTGGTAGAGTAGAGAAAATATGGCTCAAAACACAAACTGTTGGTTTTCCAAGGTGATTCTTAGTGATGATCTGTGGCAACTTGCCTGCTAAAAAGTTAATAATAAAGTGACTGTTTTATTTTTCTTGCTACTACCACTATTTCCTGTCTGAGTAAATTGGTGGAAATTTGGTCTTGTGTATAAATTCCATCATATTTTATTAATTTTATGGTTGAACATTTGGTTTATTTAGCCTCAGGTAAATTTTTGTAGCAGTGTGCTGAAGAAAAATAGGTGCTGAGTGTCCTGCAAAATGTAAATTATACAGGTAAAAACACTAGGCAAACAGCTTGTCCTGCAAATATGAGGGCAAAAAAGTGGTTAAGTTGAAACTTCCGTTAAAATTGCCTTGACCAAGCAAATTTTAATTTTATTTGCCATCAATAAATAAAACATAATAGGTTGGCTGTTGAAAAATAAGGCTGATATTTTTTTCATTTTTTCCCCATAATAGATCCTATCTGTTCCCGCTGAGAAGCTATGGTTGAGTTGAGCCATACACTGTTGGCTATATAGGCCAGAAACTTTGTGAGAAGTTTGCAAATTTTGAGCCTACCAGTATCTCATGATTAAAAAAGACTACTCTGGATAAAGAAATCTGCTTCAAAACATGCTTTGCCCCTGTACTAGATTCTATCAGCATTGTTCTTACAAACTCTTTGAATGATATACGTACTATGCTCTGCTATCTTAATTATAATTTCCATAAGAATGGTTATATTTATTTGATTTACAGTACCACCTGCCCAGAAGGACACTTCATCTCGAGCTTCTCAGCAGCAAGGCTTCTCTTCCTTCCCTGCTTACTCCCCCCTGTTGACATCTGTTGCTCCAACTGACCCATACCCCTCCAATTTTTACATGCCTTCATATCAAGTGAGTTTTGTGACAATTTAGTGCCCTTCTTTTTTTCAATTTTTACATATGTTGCTTCTTATTTACAATATGTTATCAAGAGACCTAAGTTTGAGAAAATATTTCACTAACAGAATGTACCAGGTTTCATCAACTTCTATAGTTTCATTAATATTAATACAAACTATTATACAAAGATGATTGTACCTATCAATTATTACAATTTATTATCAATAATGATGTGTGCATTTCATCATCTAAAAAGATATTCAACTAAGCATCCCATCTCTTGGGAAATTCTCTTAAATGCAAACTGATATGATTACTAAAGCAAAGATGAATTTTCCTTGCCTGCTCTGCAATTTTTCTTGTTGTATGATTTTTCTTCACTTATCTTTGAATTTTGAGAAAAAAGTTGATGAAATAACTATGAATTTTTCAAACTCCTGACCATCCTTCCTGATTTGTAGTTTCTATATTATTACCATTCCATTCTCTGTCAATGAACAATAAGTGAGCAAATATTGTTACTGTAGAATAAAGCAATATGGTTCCCGATATTGACAAGTCAACTGGTTTATATTTGATAATGTTTTGGCCAGGCTCAATCCTATGGCTCTGAGAACACTTGGAGCAATGGCAGCGATCACTTGCAGGCAACATTCCTCAACACCTACAGTGGACATGACGTACCAGGCTATGACCTGCACAATCACAACCAAGGTTAGAACTGCATCTTTTCATCTTGGCATTTATGCTATGGATCAATCTTGAACTGTAGTGTGCATGCATCTCTAACTCAAAGCAGCCCATATTATTAATTTTTTTACTATACTATACCGGTGCTTTTATTCCATGCATTGAAATTCTATTACTGGTGTTTTAAGTGCTGACTTATGCAATTGGTAAAATTTAATTCCAGTCAATTATTTAATTATTTTTATTCCAAGTTTATTTCAACAGTATGACTTTTGGTCCTAGTGGATTAATATTTTTCCAATTGCTTCACTTTTATTTCTATGGAATAATTATACTTTTTAGTGCATTATTTTTTATTTTGCCTCTAAAATACTGACATCACTTTAGTATACATAATGCATGTCATTGATGCCAATTTCTTTACAATTTTTTTGCATGTCTTTGTTTCTTTACAACCAATTAATTTTAAAGTTTCTAAGCTTATTTTTTGGAGTTCCATTGATTGCAATATTTTTGACTAGCAATGAATGACTTAACAAAAATGAGTATTTGTGAATGTTGTATTGTTTTTTGCATGTTGATTTCTTTTTCCTAACCAAAATATTTCTTTATTTTTTAATCCTATTGTTTGAAGTTCCATTGTATGCTTCATGGTCAGTAAACAATATATATATATATATGACCTGACAAAAAAATGAATATGAAAACAATGAATATGAATGCCTATCTGTGGATTGTTTGTAGGGGGTGCTCACTCTGCTGCCCAGTCAAGCTTGAGTGACAACTGTTTTGGCTCTGGTCCCGCCTCCTCTCTACCGTCCAGCTACACTCCTGACTACCACCGCACTGGTACTCTTACCGCGCATTCTCACTATCAAAATCTTGGATTTTATTTCTTCTTGCTTGTACTTTGGTTTCTTTGGTACGTCCATTCTTGCCTGTTGCTGTGGTCTCATTCCGCACTGCATACTTTGTTTTATTCTTTCATCTTTTCACATATTTTGCCAGTATGTTTGGCATCAATAATCTAATTATCAAATACAATTTAAGGCACGTAACAATATTTATGAAATTTTATAATCACGCTATAATAACTCCCGTCATTCCAAATTATGATGATGATAGTAAATAAAATGTGAATTAGAATTAAAGTAAGAGCAGTTGAGTTTAATTAAACCTTCATTTTTCTTAGAAAATACAAGTTGTATTTCCCTTTCATCCAAAATTTGGAAAAACAATCTAGTGATTTTGAGTTGAATGTATATGCATTGTATATATTATAAAATTGAAAATTAAAAATTGATCCTATCCTTTTCTCCTTTTTGTGCACTTCTTTCCTCAGTGTCTTCCAATCCTTTTTTGTTCTCTGACTAAGAATGAAATTCCAAGACCAGGTAATATCCCAACATGATACGTATTTTGTATATGCACCGCTACAGCCTTTATGTATCTGTGGCATCAGGCTTCAAACACACGCACCCACAAACTCTGACAAACATAATATTTTAAAGTTGAACGAGTATTAAAACATGTATTTAACATTGAAGCTCATGCAATTCATGAATAAAACTAATTTTTGTAGGTATGTAGGAAGTCCATTTTTTCAAGAACACTTTTTTCCTAAAATCCACAATAATGTGCCTGTGCTCTATAATCTTTTCAGCCAAGGATGACTGTTAAATTGAACAATGTACAAGATACGGTATTTCTAATCCTTACTGGGGAAACATTTTGCCAGTATTTACCACATAAAACTAAAATAAAACTGAAAATAAGGTAAAAATATTGTGCCAAAACCTAAACATGAATGAAATCACTGTAACCTGAATATAAAGACTAGACAGATAATTTCTGGATAATAATTTCTATTATTATTATAATATTATATTATAATATTAGATTATTATGGATAATAATTTCTAAACATTCCTTGGTTCATGATGAAATAGATCATATTCATATCGAAACAAGCCTGCTATAACATGTAAAGTGATCTCGATTTTTACAGGAAATCCGAACTCGTGGGCTGCAGAAAGTCACCAGCAAGATAGCCAAAAATACGGCCAGCAGAATTATGACGATGTGAATCGCCAGGTCGACTCAGAGAACAACAAGAATGATGACTCGTTGGAGCGCGGCGTGCACGCGCTCTCGCTCGCCGACAAAACTCCTGGCGACGGTGGCGCCCCTGAAGCTGTGTCTCAAACCACGCACGATGCAGGCCCTTCAGAAGGTCTCACACTTGTATCGCAGCCGAAGAAGAGCATGTCTTGGGCTAACATTGCCTCTAAGCCTGCTAAACAACTGCCTACACGCCGCAAGGAGAAGACGGTTCTGACATCACGCCACATGGATATTGGCACTTGGGATAATAAGAACGGCCCTGGTGCTAAGCCATCAGCACCTCTCCCTGCGCCGCGACCTGCATGGGAGCCACCACGCACTAGTGCACGCACCACCACCACCTACACCAGCACTGCTGCCCCCCAAACTCCCAGTCAGCCTGTTGTTCCGCACGAAGTGTCGCCTCCTCCTTACCTTCAGCAGATCCAGCAGCAACAACAACAACAGCAGCACCAACAACCGATCCAGCATCAACACCAACCACCACCGCATCATCAGCAACATCAACAGCAGACACCACTGCATCAACATCAGCCACAGCAGTATCAACATCAGCCTCCACCACATCAACATCAACTCTCTCAGAATCAATACCAACCCTCTCACCATCAAACCCAACCACCCCTGCCGCAACACCAGCCCCAACACCAACCCCTCCAGTCACAACACCAACCACCCCTGCATCAACACTAGCCAACTCCGCATCACCACCAAACCGAGCATCATCAACATCAACAGTATTCGCAGAAGACGCGTGAGCAGCAGCCTCAACAGCAACTGCCTCAACCGCAACAAATGCCTCCTCAGTACGCAGTGGCGCAGCATCACACAATGCCTCCACCAGGCAACATGCAGATGCCACTAAATGCCCCAAAGCAACACCTGCTGCAGCACCACCATCAGGACCAAGCACCTCCACAACATCAGCACAACCGGTCCTCCCTCTCTCCAAAACCAGCGCATCACCAGCAGGCAACTCCACCTCATCCAATGGAGGAAAAAATGCCGCAGGTGACTTCTCACATGGGAAGACCAGCTCAACAAGATGCCCACCAGCAAAATGTCCAACCTACTCACGGACACGACAATAATTTGAGTTCTTCTGACAAGTCACCAGCTCCTGACGCATCTCTGGAGCTTCTCCACGAAAGTCCTCGCCCCGAGGAAAGCAGCTCACCAATTTTAGAGGACCTCCGGCAGCGCAACAAATACAATCCTTCAGAACTGAGCCTCGATACGACCAACGCGCGCTTCTTTGTCATCAAGTCCTACTCTGAAGATGACGTTCATCGTGCCATTAAATACGAGATATGGTGCTCTACTGAGCATGGAAACAAGCGCTTGGACCAGGCTTTCAAAGACCAGGCCGAACGCAATGCTCCTTTGTATCTGCTTTTCTCTGTGAACGGAACTGGTCACTTTTGTGGCATTGCTGAGATGCTCAGCTGTGTGGACTATTCTTCATCTGCTTCAGTCTGGGCCCAAGATAAATGGAAGGGACAGTTTAAAGTCAAGTGGATATACGTGAAAGATGTTCCGAACACGCAGCTGCGTCACATAAAGCTTGAAAATAATGAGAACAAACCCGTCACCAAGTCACGGGACACCCAGGAAGTGCTTCCTGACAAGGGCAGGCAGGTAAATACCATCAAGTAAAACTGCTATCATGTTCACTGTTGTATAATTGGACTTTTATTTGTGATTATTTTGTATATATTCGCACGTACCTTCTAAATAACTTGGTGCAGTTATAATGCCCAATTTTGTGATGACATCTCTCTTAGCCATCATTTTATTAGAAGCTAAGGCAGGATTTTGAAAATTATTTATGCTTTCCATTTCTCACTCTTTCCTGTTTTCATTTTCCCAGTTGGATTGACTTAAAGTCTTTTCGAGACCACCTGGGCATTTTTTTTTTTTTTTTGCTCTACCATGTATGTGGCAGTGCAATTGAATTTAGTTGTCCACACTTAATTTTATCTTGTCTGAATGTCAGGTTCTGCAAATCATTCACTCCTTCCGCCATTCATCGAGCATCTTCGACGACTTCACGCACTACGAACGACGTCAGGAGGAAATAAAGAGCAAGAGAAATAACATGGTAAGCTGGCTTTTTGGATAATAACTTTCACCACACATTACCTTCAGCTGTTGTACTCCTGAAAATCTCCACCATCTTTGATCACCTCCACATTTCATGTCTGATATGAGGGAAAACATTGGAGCCACGATCCAGTTTATGCTTCATTCGGTACATCACAAAGAATAGTGGTTTGAATTTGTTTGGAATCGATGATTGAATGTTTTTTTTTTTTGCTTTGTGCAATGCATTTTAATATAACCTTGCCTTTTTTCAAAATCTTGGATTTTAACTGAAAATGAATCTTTTTAAATCCGGAAATGTATTCACATTCGTTGCGATTTATTCATGAGAAGCAACCTAACAGTTCATAAAAAAAAATTCTTTATTATCGTCTGAAAATGCTTGTGTAATTTTTCTCTGACTTTGAAATAAGTTTGTACGTAAAGACGTTCTTGACGAGTTGCCATGTGACAGGATGGGTCTTCGGACGATGGACGTCCCATGGACTATCACCGCAACCACGACCAGCAACAGCCATACTACGGCGGCCACAACTACGGTGGCAGAGGAGGACGTGGCCGTGGGTACCATCATAATAACTACCACCCGCAGCACTACGGCAACTACAATGCCGGTCCCGGTGGTGGAAGAGGCTATGGTAGAGGACATTATGGCGGTGGTCATCATGGTGGATACGGCCGCGGATATCACGGTGGCTATGGTGGTGGATACATGGAAGGCGGTCATCACAACGACCGCTTTCCGGCACCACACTATCGCGGCGGGCATCACCATTACAACGGACCACGAGGAGATGGACCGCCCCGCAATTGAGGCTCTGGACTCATGGTCGGGATTAGACCAGCGACACCACGTCGAGCCTTGAATGCAGCATTCAATGAAAGTTCATATTAGGAATATGAGTGGATCACTGAGCACCCTGACGTGTGCTGTGTGGTGGTGTACGCGTTAAAAAGCGATGGCGTGTGACGTGCAGGCAATGTTGTGTAGTCACTAAAGCATGGACTGGTGCACCTACTAAATCTAAACAATGAGACCAAAACAGGACTTTGATGAAAACTGGTCCTATTGCTAATTAGAAGTGATATTCATTAATTTGTACGTACCACAAACACTTTGTAAATGTGCTCCCAGTGCTTGCGTTTCTGATAAAATAGTTCCTTGATAATACAGGAAGAAATAGAACAACTCTGGATATTGCTCCGGCTAATTTAATGTCGAAGAATCAAGGATGTCCGAACTTTCGTGCTTACTGTTGTTATCTACTCGATCACTTCCTCTTTGTCTATCCCGAAATAGTTTTTATTCCATTCCTTTCGTGATTTTGAAAGTTACTAACGTTTGCATCACGTATGTGTGATGGTCTTCACTAAAATTCGTCTATGGAAAAACAGTGATGTGCAGTGTTGTAATTAGAACATAAATTCACTACATGGAACAATTACTGTGCAGTATGTAGACATCCGCGAGTACTCACTTCGGTGAAGTGCAACTTCTGAACTAAAAAATAAACAATTACGGTGTGCACTAGGCTTTCTTAAATTATACTTACTGCCTCAGACGGACTCGCGTGAATTTCAAAATGAATATTGTCTGAAGGCCTCTGCTGGAAAAGTGGTTATCTTTGGAGACGCAAAGTGTGCCGTAGATTGCTGTAGTAGAGCTTTCATTGTTGTTATTGAAGAATTAATTGCTCCAAATAAACTTACTTACACTCCTGTGCGTAGCTTATAGACCAAAAATAAGGCTCTTTTCATGCGTGCGCTCTTTGTTCTTGCGTGGCGATGAGATATCTGGACTACGAAGTCGACTTGTTGTTCTGTGGCGTCGACGAGAGCATCGCACGCGCCTTAGCACGCTTCATTCCTAGCACACTTTATAACTTGACTCTATTATTGTGAGTGCATTATAGTTCCAAGGAATTACTGGCATTTTAAACTACATTTTAATCTTACGAAGCATAAGCAAGAATTGGATTGCAAGTTAACCTTTCTGGATGATTACAGTCCCATAGGCATCAGGTTATAACTGATAAGTGATTGCCTACCATAAACAATGTAGAATTATTGGTGGTTCGACTTATTCATGCTGTTATTCTGTCACTTTGGTGGGCATTCATAAATTTGAATAACATTATTTACCCGACTCTGCCGAAGTTGTTTTTAAAGTTTTTTTCTGTGTTTAGTATTGACGTGACGTCACAAAAATTTGTCATGGGGACATTATTTTATTACATTTATAATTATTTCACATTTACCTTTCTCTTTGTTGAGTTCCCAGTCCTGTTCTTATCAATATGACTATTGATTCATTCTCATTAAATTACCAACTTAGGTTTGAAATTTGAATCCGAAGTTACCTGACCATAGAAATACTGCTGAGCAGTTATTTCAAAGTAATACGACCATTAATAGTAGATTGTATCGAATTTTATTTTCCCCCAGTCGTCTTTTTAGGGTTTGCAAGAACTTACTCAAGAAGTCACCATGTTTTAATTCAACACCCGACGGCAGGTTCCTGGTTTTTGCCGTACAATTAAGCGGCGTTGTGCTCGTTTCCAAGCCTCGTGATACAGACACCTCGGCCCTGCATTGTGCTTTTTGATATGGAGACCTGTTAGTTTTTATTACACTTTATTTGACCTTAACTAAGGCTTACCAATGCTAACTTTGATTTGCCTGTGTACCAACGTTCTATCTTATCACAGATGTGTGTTTCGTTTTTAATTATTGGACATGAAATGCGTTCACGTGATTATTAATCACTCATTACTGAGAAGTTATTAGAGACTATAAGAAACTACGATTTTAATATCCATTACTGATAACACATTATTTTCGATAGTGTGTCATGTTTTTTTCCTGGGGGCGAATGGATGTACGGAAAACACTTGTGTATTTTCCGGTTGAATAATTTTTTGGAAGGGGAACCAGTTGATGCCCCGATGCCTTGATTCATTTGGCGCACTCCTCACTGCCTTGTCGAGTCTTGGTGCATACATTTTAGTCTTATGTTCACGACGTTCAGATTTTGTTTTGTGTTCTGCTTAGTTATTTGAACAGAACTGTTATTGTAGCGATAAGCCTTGATTATTATGTCTAATCGACGATATCTCAAAAATATTCGTCTTGTTCATCTCTCTTCTTGTGTTATGGTTCTGTGCCGGAGGAAGCTGATGCGAGGTGTGTTATTTACCTGCACTTTTTCTATATTTCGCGCTTCTTCTGCAGATAATTCTTGACATAATGTTCTTACCATGCTTTGATCCTATCTTTAGTTTAAGTTTTTATTTTATGCATTATAACGCTATAGCTTTACATTCATTACATCTTGGTCTCTTGGGTTAACTTGTGTTTGCAATGCAACACACTTGGGTGAGGCGGAGTGGCCGTTCTGTGCTAATAAAGATCTTCGTTCAAGCAACTTTCGTATGGCTATTTGAGTTACACTTATGTTGCTGCCTGGTTCTTTTCTGTGGAAAGCAATAGTGAAAATCTTTCTTATCCTAATTTTATTTTTTTTAGTTTAGTGCGCTCGAGGAAGGTAAGGGGAATTCAGTTACTGGTGAATGATTCGATCGTTTATCGTTCGCATGTACCAGAATCTATTCCTAATGTTTCCGCGATTATCGATACGTTGTTACTGCCACATATTACTGCGACTGGTGAGGTCTATACATACAGTGACTTCCAAACCTTTCCAATTAGAAATTTCAAGAGATGACCGTTTCCTCTGACGCATAATTCTCATCGTTATGATTTTTGTAGTTTGCGGTCTTTTGTAATCATAATGTTGTTTAGGACCATTTGATTTTTTTCAAATTCCTCATGTGAATCTACAAAGTATTATTCATAGCTCATTATTGCAACATTTACGCCACGTATTAAAAAAGTTGTCACTTGGTCTCATCTATATGTTGATCTGTTCTCATCAATTCCATAGTTTTTTGTTTACTGTTACATCTGTGTCATTTTCGGAGCATTGGATGTAAGTTTTAATCTCGATATACTGGCACGTTGTTTTAAGCTAGCAATTAATATTCCATTTTATTTAGTGAAAAAATACTTGATTGCCATGCGTTGAATTGTTTCTCTTATTAAGCACATTAATGACCTTTCTAATGCAGAGTTGAGCTAAATACCGTGCAGACTAATCGAGCTACTGACAACGCTCCTCTAAACGGAGGACATTCATTCATGTTTGTATCGTTATTCTATTGCAGAACTTACCCGTTCATGTTCGATATCGACAATAACAAAACTAAGTGTTGTCAATATTTAATCTGGAATTAAGCTGAATTCTACATATATCTACGACCTTGCAATTCTCGTTCTCTCGTTTCCTTGGCTAATCAGGATGAACTAGCACGTTTGGTTTACAGCCTGAGCGCCTTCGCCCTCCGCTTGATGTTCGTTCTATGGTTTCTGTATATAATTTATGGTGTCAATACGTAAAGCAATATCTTCAGATTAACGACTTGTTTTTATCGCACACTAATGATGCCTTCACAAATCCCAGTCCATTTTCAGGTCTTGTACAGACGCAAGAAATCAACGTGACGAGAGGCTTGGCAGCCAGTTATATTACGCCAGTAACATAACTGGCTCAATTAATTTATGGCTTAAAACTGTAATATAACTGCCAGTTATATGATGATTGATAACTGCCAGTTATATTGCAGTTATTGGTACGCAAAACTTCGGTTTTGCGTACCTAGGATGTGTGACTATGGAGAACTGTGTGATGCTGTTATCCATATAACATTACTGGATGTTTTTGTGTTTTAGCTGCGGCCATTCCAAGCAGCGACGCGCCTTTCTTTTATGCTTTGAACACGTCTCCTTACTGGAGCATTTTTAAAACTTCTCGCATCTTTGTAAGTCCATAGGATGGCTTGTGATTGTTAGCATGTCATGGTTTTATTCTTGGTGAGCTTCTATAACATAGTTGGTACACAGTAAAAGTACTCTGGTATGTGTTTCCTTATTCCTCTTGTCTAATGATTGAAGGAACTTCATTCAATGGTTTCACTGTAACATAGATTTGATGGGCTGTGAATTGCTTTACAACCTGAAATGTTTCCTCATTCATTTAAAAAATTCTTGAATTATAACAATCCATGACTGGCTCGGGGTGGTAGCGGTGAGAGCGTAAAGCAAATTAAGAATGCTAATGGTCGTCACAAAGGCATAGGCAGTGCTTCGTATTTAATATTGCGTCACTCCAGTTGTTCCGCCCTCATTGAAACCCACATAATCTTCAGCTTTCTCATGTTTATCCGCTGTGCTGAAACGCGTCACAATTAAGCTTTGACTGCTTTTTCATGCAGGTAAATGAAATATAGGTGTATAATTTTATATGCTTAGGGCAAGAGTCGAGGTTGGGAACCAGGCTACGAGGTCAGAAACTATTGGCACTGCTAGGTCGTCAAGCTGTCGCTTCTGCCCAGTCACCTGCGGGCAGCAGGCCGTGCAATACGGCGGTGCTGCGCTGCTCGATGTCGCTGTGGCGTGCGCGTTGTCTATGGTGTGCCCCGCGATGACTATGCAGAAGCGCCGTATAATCCGTCCTAGTTTGTTCACCAATATCGACAAACTTAGCTAGAATTCAACAGGACTCCACTCGTACGTAGTTTACTCATGATGCAAGCGCCTTAGTTGAATGTGAACTATATTTTGGAGCAATGCTCTCCGCCGTGAGTTAACAGTGAAATGTCAAGTACAGTTGACGTTCTGAAATATTGAGTAGAATTTGTCATAGTGTTTTATCGATTCACGCAGAAAATATGAGATTGAATGGATTGTTGCATTGGAAATCGATGAGCTGATTCAAAGGAAAAAGGTACGATCGATGTGCGTTTTCGATGTATGAACTCAGAACAACACGATCTGCAAGATTCGTTCTTGAAAGATTCAAGTTTGTTTAACGAACAAGGTATTCGTGACCGCTACACTGTGTCCTTGCTTCTCTTTTCAGTCTTTTGATAATGGATTCATGGAAGCCCGAGCAAGGTTTGGTGATCGGATGATGGGTTCTTCTGATATTCAGGCAGATGTATTACAGTTTTCTTCAGAAGAGCTAGATGTATTTCTAGCAATAAAACTCATTCGATCTTTATTGTAGGCTATCAATTAATGGTTAAATAAATTCATGGCTTTACAGTACTTCATTTCTCGAGGTGCATCCGACAAATTTGAAGTCGCGACTTCCGTCCTACTGAAAATACCACGTACGTAGATCATCGATTTTGCCGATCGTTGCTTCGGTAAATCGTCATATGGAAGCGTGTCTACAAGCTTCTTGCTTCTTTTGAGGCGTCGGCATTCGAGGAGATTAATTGTTGCCCCTCTCATCAATGTACATCACTCATCGCACAAAGTACGTCTGGAAACAAACGAAGCAGGAGATTGGAGGGCAAAACTCCATACATGACACAATATTCTTCTGTTCTTGCACTATACATAGATGATAGATGACAGTTCAAATATGCCTCTTTCTCTTATAATCTTCCGGTCGAAAACTGAGAGAGGCTATTGGGGCAAAAAAATTGAATCAGAACTTGGAACACATTTTTAGCCTAATGCTATTCTTCACGCGTTTAATATAATTTTACCGGGCTGAAAACCGGCCGGTTCAAATGATATTTAACATCAGGATTTCTCCTGCGTTGTCATTGATAACTCTAGCTTGATGTATACATGATTGGCTAGAATTAGTAGTTTCATTGTATATTGTAGTACATATATGAATTGGAATAGAAGAAACATTTTGTTAGCGTTTTGAAACTAACATTGTTGTTTCATGCCATTTCACCTACAAAGGAATTTGAAATTACCCTCGCTTACAAAAAACAGTAGGTATCGTAGTATAAGCATCCATCTTACCATTCTAGGGGCTTTTTTTACAAATTTTTAATGTTTCTGTATATATGTGCGTGCGCAGTTGAATTAAGAGCATTAACGCTTTCAGTGCCGAAAAAACAAATGCCTGAATCATTGATTGCTCCGCCGCCATACTGCATTGATTATACTGTGTAACGATCGAAGGCCTCCACTGCAAGCATCGCCTTTGCATTGCATGGGATAATAATCAATGAATGTACTTGTATGTTCTACATCATTTACCGATTAATCATTTCAATAGGAACGAATTTTCACGAACCACTCAATAATATTTCTTACAGATCCAAACAAAAATTAGAATGGAATCTTTTTCATTCAAATCTAATCTCTTTGTCATAGCGAAACGGTGTCGCTATCAGAGTATTTCAGGTAAATTTCATTAGGCCTCTTAAATTTCAATTAGACCATTGATAGAATTCTTAGTCATGCCTAGCCGTGTTGAACAACTCATGGCTCAAAATAACAGGACCGAAACTCCTTCAGATATGGTACGTAACTTTATTTTCTAATAATTATTTACAGTAGATCGGTATACATAACTCGCAATGCGCGGCACCTGAATATCTCATGGGATTACGTCTTTGCATTCCTCAACACAAGCGCAAAAAACATGTCCGCAAATGTCTCGCTGATAATCGCTGTTGAGTACAGTTTATTTAGTTACTTACGTCCTTGAAACAATTTTTCGGTGTCGTAACAGCTGGCGGAGGTACACATTTACGTAGTACCACACGACAAATGGATCCCATACCGCCGGCTCGCCAAGAACAGAGTGGTCGAGGAGACGGTGTCTGTGGGGTTCGTGCGGGTGCTTCCTGAGACGACGCTCACCGAACTCAGGACCGCCCTCAGAGAGCAGCTACCGGAGGAAGAACTCCTCCATCACTTCGTCTTCATCAAAAGTGTTGGCAGAAACTTTACTCAGGTAGGTGGAGTGCGTGTTGAGGAACGCTAGCATGCGCTAGCGTATTTGAAACCGATTGCAATTCTATGTTAGGCAATTAGAGAAGAAAGAGGCTAATAAGGTTCTTAATGTTATTTTTCAAGATTATAGTTAGCATCAAGTAACAAAGCCGCCGGAATATGAGGATATTTTCATCATCGTTGTTCATTGTCTATTGTATATAATATTTTCATTGTTGTTCCAGTGTTCATTATTGTACAGGAAAAACGTGCGAATAACTCAGTCAGAAATGTTGAAGAGTATTTGTCGGACAGGATATGTTTAGAATTTAGAAATGCCACAGTCTCGCCATTTATTGTAATGGATTAAAATGAAATCTTTTAGCCGTAATTTGAAATTCATCTTTATATTTGATTTCTTCATTTGTCACAGGTGAAACCTTACCAAGAAGGAGTCGTCAAGGTAAAGAACTTCCTGCCACCCAAGGCGCCGGAGCCCGAAATCCACATTCTGGAAATTAGCGAAGAACTTCTTCGCAACGCGTCGAGCCTCGGATCGCTGGTGCTCTCCGACGAACTTTCCGACTCGCAGGTATTTAAGCTATTTTATTTTGTTCAATCTTAACTTATGTATAACTCATGCTATTGACACCAATTTACAACTGTTTCCGTGCGCTTTTGACCACCTTCAGCTACACCCTGAAGGATCTGAATTCTTTGTATCCATCGATTCAGGCACGATTTCTCAGAAAAACGTAAACAATGGTATAATAATTTTAAATTAAATAGGACGACTAGTTTTAAAACAAAATTTTTTAAATATCTTCACTGAGAATCAAAGGCATACTCCTCAGTTTACGTAAGCCTGAGCCGCTCGTGCATGTAGAGGAATTAGCTTGGAAAATAATCTCTGCTTACTGCTATTTTACTCTCAGTCATTAATTGACTAAATTCCTTGTTTGTGCGTGCAAACTTAAAGTTATTTTAACAGTCTATTGCTTTGGTCTTGGCTTGTGTAGTATTTTTTATAGCTAACCGAAAAATGTATTTTAATTTCTCAATTACATCATTGCAATAAAATAGAGCAATATTTGGGGCTCTGTGTTTTGAAAATCCCTATTTTCGCTCACTTGGAAATTTTTCAGCGAAAATGTGCGCGTTTCATAGCAGAGAGAGAAATAACGTCAAAGTCCATGTCAATTTTTGAGCTACTGGAAAGCATCCCATTAATCGTGACCCAACGATACCTGCATTATATTGTTCGATAGGGAGCACAGATTAAGCTGCAAGGACGATGTGTGCCAGTCAATGACACATAAGTCGCCACTCAGCACATACTGCCGTAATTACATCGCCGCTCGTCACTAAAAACCCTATAATACTGGTCAGAAATTCAATTTATATGGTCCGATAACCACATAATGACTGCGTAGTTATTTTGATCGCGTTGGAAGGAAATGATTCCGTTTTGTTCAGAAAAGAAATGATTCAGTTTTGTTCTTTTGAAGGCCCGCGACTTTAGTGTTGCGGCGACGATGTCAGTATTGACGGTGTCACATTTTGCAGGCCAGCAGCGTTCTCGGCAGGACTCCCCGCACTTTGGGCAGCGATACCTGGACACGCCGACCCAGCCAAGCGGATGCCCCTCTGACCGAGGAGGAAGAGGACCTATGGGGCGCTCAGGGCCGATCTGCTGCAGAAGCAGCTTTCACTGAAGCTAGAATACAAGGAACCAGGACTCGTGCCAGTGATGATGATGACTCAGGTTAGGAGATTTACATCTTCTTGATATACCTAACTCACCTCTCATTAATATTTTGGAAAAAATTTAAAGTTAGCCAAAGATAGAGTTAGCCGTAGCTCATGTTATTGACGTTTGTGATTCACGTACAAATTTTTGCCAGTTTGTATCCGAAATTTTTTGTCTCAAGTCTGAAAAAAGTTTTTCAACGATCATTAATTAAGTATCAATTTTCAGGCCTAAGTTGTACCATTCAACGATATTTTAATTAATTTTCAACTGGATTGGTAATGTGCTCCTATAGTACAGACTCTAGTACTCAAGTGAGTAGCGGCAGCACTGTGGGTATGCGTCGATATATTGCAAGCTCGGTGCGTTCCCCGGCACTCAGGTCATTCACGCCTGCCATCGCAAGATCGATGCTCTACAATACGGCCAACCAAGCTCACCTTATCAGTCTGTGCATGCTTTTGTCGATTACACACTCCCGTTCTGCTCAACGCTTTATTCCTAATACATAATAAGAATTTTTCGATTTCTTAAACGCAGTTTATAGCTTGCAGCAATTTATTTCGAAAATTTATCGACAATTTTTAATCTTTAACTTGGTAAACTTTAAGGAACAATACGAAATATTCTTCTTATTTCACGTTGCGGGCATTTTTCAAATGGAACGAAAGTATTCAGCTGAATTGCACTGCGAGAATAATTTTGGGGATTTCGCTGCTACAGGGAACAGTGACGTACGGCAGAGCAGCTCGTGGCAGGGCAGCAGCAGGCGGGGCAGCGCTCGCAGAGACCGTGCAAAGGGCAAGACTCGAACCAAAAGAAATGCCGACGCAAAGACAGGACATAATTCCGAGGCTGAAAGTGAGAAAGGTGGTGAAAGCGGCGGTCTCGAGGCTGACGATGAAACATCGGACCTCAACTCGAGACGAGGGTCTGTAGCTTACGGAGAGGAACACAATAATTCTGAAGTCGAAAATGAACTCGGCGATGACAAGGAAAACTTAGATACTGGCTATCATGAAGATTTTTCTTCCTCGTCACCGCATACCTTGAGCTATCGAGAAGCCAGTGGAGACGTTCCGTCTGAAGTTGTCGTCCAGGGTGACCAGGAGGGTGCTGAAGAGGCAACCAATTTACTGGAAGAGAATGACTCTTTCCAACAAGAGAACGAGAGATCCTTTTCCGAGCTTGATGGACTTCGCCTAAGTGCCGAAGAATTGGTGAAAGCCTCGGTGAGGAAAGCGGAGGCTTTTGTGATCTCCTCTGACATGCCTGACGCTGCGGCCGATGGCAATAACAGTCAGTCTGAAAATGATGGCGGGGCAGAAGCACAGGCTTCTGAGTGAGTACCTCAGTACCTGCGTTTGTTTAAATTAATAATAGCTCATATTTGCTCGAGCAGTATATCCGGAAAATTTTATTCTATATTCGATTATGTAAGAGTATATGTAAATAGAGCGCTTTTAGTACCTAATTGCCTGATCTTTTTACTGATATAGGAAGCCATAATTAATAGGAAGTAATATTTGAAGCGAATTTTTCGGAATTCCACGAGTCTTATGTAAGTCAATTAAGAGAATTATCTTCCTCCAACATTTTCTTGCGCATAAAAATTAGTGGATACTTGTTTCTTGGCAAAACGTTAGCAAAACTTCAGCTTTAAACCACCAGCCTGCAGCATAAAGTTGTCTATCCCTGCGACCTGAAAAGTCAAACGTGTTGCTTGGACTGTGAAACTTAATTTAAATTTAACATTAATTTTAAATTTAACATGAATTATTATTTATTCCATTATTTTAATCGAAGTATTACGCCTATTTTTATAGAGGTACTGGCTCGCGGTTTGACCAGCTTGGTCGGAAGAACCGCATTCCATTACGTAGAAGCAGGAGTGAACCTCCACGTCGACTAGGACCCCCGAAAAGCCAAGCGACCAAAGCCAGAGGGAGGGGCAAACTAGCCACCAGCAGCTCAACCGCGAGGCTCGTCGGGCGAACGGGACGACAAGCTCCCGGGGGGCCGAGAAGCGACATCGCGCAACGAGTTCCCAATGCCAGAGGTATTTCTGTTTTTAGTCCCTATTACTTTTTGTGACCCATGTTAAAGACTGTCAGCTGCGTATAAACGTTGATATGAAGTTTACTGGGCACAGAATGTTTCATGTAGTAATGATGAAAAAGTTTTAGTTACGTTGATAATTTCTTGAGCAAACTGTAAGCATTTCAGCCAACTAAAAAATTCTTGTCGAAAAGGCAGCAAATCTTCAGTTCAAGCCACCAACTTTTAGTAGGAAGTTTCCTATCCCTGTGCTGGCTGTAATATTCGACGTAACCCGTCAGTCAAACGTGTTGCTTGGATTGTGAAACTAAATGAAATGTGAAAGTAAAATCCGTATATTTATTTTAAATGATTGTTTCTGACGTGCGGTGTTGGAAGCGAGTTTATACTAGAAGAGAGTTGCTTGCACACTAGTGACACTAGTGTGAAATTCTCCGCGAGTAGTTTCAGAATTATAAAAGAGGATCGTATCATTAAAGATATATCTGATTCCTTAATTTCTTTCTGAAAACCGAGCTGCATCCTACCAGGCTACCTTTGCTCATTCTCGTGATGTTCCTATTGTTCATAAATTCAAATTCTACTTCATAAGCAGGAGAAAGAACTTAGAAAAATGATAATTTATTCGGAAGTAAGTTGCCAGAGCACAATCGTACAATTGTTTTCTTGATGTAACCTTATGATTATTTAAAGGTCATCGAAACGCTGTCTCTGGCCTGAACTTTCCCTGGCATGCAAAATAGCCTCATGACTCATCTTAACTCTCTGCTTCCTGAATTATTCAAGTGTGTCAGTATGTGTGTCTCAGTCTTAAATTGTTACGACCAATGCTGGTGCACGCGAGTGACCTAGCCATATCAGCACTATCTTTATCAATGTGAAAAATAATAAATTAAACTCGGCAGACTTACACAAATTTCTTAATCTAACAAGTTAAAGGATCATGGGAATTTTTTATTGAGCTAGAGCGTTTTGGTCGATTTAGTCTAATTCGTGACTGTTCAATGAAGTCATAATTTCGGTGGTTAGGAAAGTCTTTTGCTGTTGTTGAATAGAGCGAGTAACCAGCGAGTTACTCCCACTGACCTCCCACGAGTTACTCCCACTGACCTCCCACGAGTTACTCCCACTGACCTCCCACGAGTTACTGCCACTGACCTCCCACGAGTTACTCCCACTGACCTCCCACTAATTACTCCCACAAGTTACTCCCACTGACCTGGTGTGTAGCCCAGTTCAGGTGTCATTACCACCAGCCGGCAAGTCTCTGACATCGACCACTGGCACGTACTATCTAACTTGGTCATCACGATCTGCTCAGCCTCATTCAAATTCCCTCGTTATGAGAGGACATATATAAAAACTTTTAATATTTTAGCATGAATTATATATCATAATTCAATTCAAATTCTGAATTAAGTTGCATTCCTTATTAATGTATAGAAACTCTCATTATTGATTCGAATGAAGAATAATTTCTGTACTTGAAAATCTTTTAATTGAAATTCATTTTCACCCGCTGTTATGTCAGTTATTTAATTATTAAGGCTAACGAAGTATCCTTCTAACGCCCATCAGGCACCGCATATGAACATTTTCTCCCATTTGAACATATTTTTCATTCAGAACGGGAATATGAAACGCATGTGAAAGACTCATAATAAACATAATTTTCTCTTTGCATGAATGAATAATGAAAGCAATTATTTCGTTTGCTAGAATTTGGCAATTGTTTTGACCTCGATGCTTATCTAAATTGATATGAATATGACGCTTCTGAGTAAGTCATGCACCCGAGACATCATGAAAATCTGCATATGCTTGGTGTTTTTTTTTAGAATTTATCAAGTCTGTTTGGATCTTTGGAGTTCAAGTTTATCATTTGCTCTATAGTCTATATCAATAATAATGAGTAAGCGCTTACATTCGATATGACATTTCGATCATGCAACACAAATTAAGTAACGCACGAAAATAATTACCTCGGATTATTCTTTCCGTAATAGAAATTTTTCACGCTAATATTGAAACAAAGACTACTACGGGCACCAAATCAATACCAAGAAATTCCTCGTAATTTTATCCTGCAATATCCTGCGGTATTTTATTACTTCGACCGGCAAGTGTTCCACTTACTGATTTGACCGCACGTACATCATCGTACCAGCCTCGCCTGACCTTACGACTTGTTTCTGTTGCGCCTCTCATTACCATGAACATTGCCCAGGTTCGTGAATGTTTCTTGCCCAGCCTATGATTTTGGTTTAGCAACACACATTTTTTTAAATAATATACGTTTAAAAATTACTTTTTAAAGACAACACTTCCAAAGAATCCAGTATCTCCAACTTACAGATGTACAATGAATTTCTCATCTAATTTTCGAAAATTAAAAAAATTACCTTTTCAATTTTTTAAATATATATAAAATTTAGTCTCCAACTTTACACAAGTTGGCAAAATTTCAGATCGATAGGATAAGTAGAAGTGTATTAAATTTTGATTACAAGATTTGTAGCAGACAGACAGACAGACAGACAGACAAGAAGTGAAGTTAAAGAGAAGTGTTGTAATAAAAAAAAATTAGAAAAAAGTTGAAAAGCTCTAAATTAGATTGCTAGAAGCCTGCCATTACAGGTTGATGACTGCGTAGGTTGCCATCAACCTTCCCGCGACCTCCAGACTGTTGGTTAATGTTTGTGAATATTAAATTACTCACTTTAGGAAATTCTTTTCATTGACTTTACAGCTGCGCTGAACTCTTGGCCGTGATTTGCGACACTGGTGTGAGTCTAATTTTGAGGCGTTGCGCGCGAGAAAGCGTGGACTTTGCAAATTGTGCGCCACTGAAATACAATCTTCAAGGAAATTTGAAATGTGATAATTTTTAACAGCGTATTCTGAAGTAAGTCTGCTATTGGGAACTCGATAACAGAAACACGTCATACTACATGGCTTTTGAATTATCTTGATGAGACAGACAATAGCAATAAGAAATTTAGTCATTATAATTTAGACTCACATACCCAATCGCCGTTACGGCAATTTTAGGGTTAAAAAATATAATTACTTGAAAAAGCACATCCTCTTCGAAATATATTCCTACTTAATCGCAACCTATCCGTAACTACTGAACACAATGTGTGAAATCAGCGTATTAGAAAATGATTGCATCCCTAACTAAACTATTTTCTCTCATAATGGCCTCGAAACATCACATCATTTCAATTACCTCACACGTTTACGCATGCTTGCACGAAAATTTCCGCTCATTTACTTTATTTCGTTAATAATTTCAGGAAAATATTATTTAGGACAATAGTTCTTTTATTATAATGTATATCTACGGGCAATGACATATATGTGCGAGAACTCGAAATTGAGCCATAAGGTTTCCATGCAGTTGTGCGGTCAGCTACAAACTAATCATCAAGTTCGAACATGTTCACAATTTATGATTTAGGATAAACATCATCAAGTAGCACGAAACCTGTAACATTCTGTCTATTTAATATAAATAATATGTGTTTAAAAATTACTCTTTTTAAAGACAACACTTCTAAAGAATCCAGTGTCTCTGATTTTACACATGAATAATAAATTTCTAATTTTATAATCATATATTAAAAAAATTAATTTCAAATTTTATTTTTACAATTTAAAAAAATTTAAAATTTTCAAATTATTTATTCTGTCAATTGATACATGCATTGTCTCTGACTTTACAAAAGTGTGCAAAATTTCAGATCGATTGGACAGGTAGAAGTGTGTTAAATATTGATTATAAGATGTATGAAGCAGACAAATTTATTTTTTTTTTTCAAACTATTTAATTTCATATATAAAATTTTTAAATTTTTAAAATTATTTATTCTGTCAATTTTGCAATGTCAATTGCAAAATTATTTATTCTGTCATGCAATGTCTCCAGCTTTACGCTAGTGTGCAAAATTTCAGATCGATTGGACAAGCAGAAGTGTGTTAAATATTGATTATAAGACTTGTGGCAGACAAACAAACAAGAAGTGAAGTTAAAGAGAAGTGTTGTAAAATATACGTTTAAAAATTACTTTTTAAAGACAACACTTCCAAAGAATCCAGTGTCTCCAATCTTAAAGATGTACCATGAATTTCTCATTTAATTTTCGAATATTAAAAAAATTAATTTTTCAATTTTTTTAATATATAAATTTTTTT